CTCCGTCTCTTCCTTCCTTCCTCCCTTCTTTCCTTTCTCCTTCCCTCCCTTCCTTCCTTCCTTCCTCCCTTCTTTCCTTTCTCCTTCCCTCCCTCCCTCCCTCCCTCCCTCTCTTTCTTCCTTCCTTCCTTCCTTCCTTCCTTCCTTCCTTCCTTCCTTCCTTTCTCCTTCCCTCCCTCCCTCCCTCCCTCCCTCCCTTCCTTCCTTCCTTCCTTCCTTCCTTCCTTCCTTCCTTCCTCCTTCCCTCCCTCCTTCCTTCCTTCCCTCCCTCCCTCCCTCGATCCTTCCTTCCTTCCTTCCTTCCTTCCTTCCTTCCTTCCTTCCTTCCTTCCTTCCTTCCTTCCTCCTTCCCTCCCTCCTTCCTTCCTTCCCTCCCTCCCTCCCTCGCTCCTTCCTTCCTTCCCTCCTTCCTCTTTTTGCTCATCCTCCCTTTTTAACATTCTTTCTCTTCTATTCTATTCCATTGGCAGAAATACAGACATGAAGTTAGAGCAGTATTTTTCACCACTAGCAGAAGTGTGTTGAGGATGACAGAACAATTAACAGTAGGAACCTAGGTTTTTTATTAAGTGGAACTATAGACTGTCAAAATAGACTTAGAAGTGATATGGAAAAAATAATATTTTGTTTAATCCACTAATATGTTTATCCACTCTGTTATAAAGATCAAACCAATTAAGCTTTCAGAACTTCTATCCATCTTTAGTATTTTTTGTGTATATACCAAAACTTCCTTTCCTTTCATCTGTCATTGTATATTTGGGTTATTTCTCTATCTTGGGCATCTTCACAACCCTCTTCTAAGTTACTGGACACCTAGGTTGATTCCTAATATTAGGTATTGTACTTAGTGGTGCAATGAATAATGGTGTGCTTATGTTCTCCTGAATGAACCAGAGCAGGTTGATTTTAAGGCTCTGTGGAGAGAACCACAACACTGTAAGGATCTTAAGCTGATCTCAGTCCTCCATTCACTGTCCACTCCCTCACAGTGAATTTGTTTTTCTTGTCTTGACTAAACATTCTTCATTCTATTTTATTTTCTGCTACATTTTAACTCAATTTTTGCTGGGCGTATTGTGGCTTACTCTGCTTCTCCCTATATCATGGTTCATCAGTTTCTGCTCCCACTGTTCAATATCACATTCCTATTTCCATCAGTGTCTTATAAACCTTTCAAAAGACTTTTCATAGATACCAAACCAGTGGTGCTCAGGGAGCCTAGGGGAAACTTTGTGTGACACTTGGGCTAGTAACTAGACCCAGGTGGGTTAACATGAGTGGGCAGTGCCAGAGATAGAACTTGGAGACACATCTGCCAGGTTAAAGTTTATGGGCTTTACCCCTTTGAGCCATAATCTTAAACCCCTTAATATTTTTTTAATGACAGATCAAGGCACTTGTCAAGAGTCAATCAGAGGGGCTGGAGAGATGGCACAGTGGGTTGGGAATTTGCCTTGCACACAGCCGACCTGGATTTGATTCCCAGTATCCCATATGGTCCCCCAAGCACTGCCAGGAGTAATTCCTGAGTGAATGAGCCAGGAGCAACACCTGTGCATTGCCGGGTGTGACCCAAAAAGAAAAAGAAAAAAAAATGAAGGCGCTTGTTTCCTTCCCTTATTTTCTTTATAAATGCACAGCCCAGGGGTTGGAGAGACAGTACAGTGGTTAAGGTGCTTGCCTTGCACATGGCTGGCCCTGGTGAGATCCCTGTCACCTATAGGAGTGACTCCTGAGTACTGAGCCAGGAGTAGTCCTGGAGGGGCCATGGGAATTGGCCTGAAAACAAAAATCTTTACTACAACATTTTGACTCATGTTTAATTAAGTAACTACTATTCACTACAGTGTAATCCAGTTGACATATAAAACTAACAACCACATTGCCTTTCCTGCCTCATGAGTAGTTAGAAAGTCATTATTCTTACATATTTTGGAACTTTTGGGTGGGGGAGCAGGCATATGAATGGACAGAATAAATACTTTGTCGATGTTTGAAACCATGAATTGTATCTACTGAACTCTGACCACTGTGGCTTGGAAGAATATTCCTTGAGCCCATTGAAGTCTCATTCACTCACACCTTAAAGTCAATATTAACCAACTACAACAGGGACAAAGACAGAGTTCGACATGTAAGCTATTTGTCTTGCACGTGGCCAACCCCATTCAATCCCTACACCATACATGGTCCCCTAAACACCGCTAGAGAAGATCTCTGAGCACATAACCAAGAGAAGCCTTGAGCACAGTTGGGTGGAGCCCAAGCTTCCCCAAACATAATAAATAAACTAATACATTAGATCAACAATTACAGTTCTGGAAACTTTCCCACAAGTATGCTAGCAAATGTACAAACTGACTTAAGGACAAAGTTATTCATTAAAGCCTAGTTTGTAAAAACAAAAATTGGAAGCAACCAAGATCCCCATCAACGCAGAATTAACTTAATAGAATTTTTAAAATTTATTTATTTTTGGTTTGGGGGCTACATCTGGCTGTGCTCAGAGCTAGCTCCTGGATTTGTACTCAGGGATCACTGCTGGTAGGCTCAGGGTACCACTTGGGGGGCAGGGGATAAAATCCAGGTCAGCTGCATGCAAGGCAAATTCTTTACCTGCCGTACTATAGCTCTGGTATCTCATTTAATGGAATTTTTTTAAAGGAAGTTATGTAATGACATGAAAAGATTTGTGGCATATACCATTGAACAAGAAAAGCAAGGAACAGAGCAACTGCATAAATTGTTGTCAATCATATAAAAGAGAGAGAAGGAAGAGATATGTCAAAGATGCCCTCAAACCAGAGAGATGGTACAGAGGTTAAGGCACTTGCCAGTACTGGCCTCTGAGCACTATTTCAGGTGGCCTTCAAAATAAATAAATGAATAAAAAATTTAAAGATGTCCTTATAATATTTATCTACTTAGTATTTAATTTTGAAGGTTTGTGAAAAAATGAATCACATTAAAGAAAGAAACTGGGTGACTGAAGAATGAAGTCAGGAATGAACCTTCTACTGAGTATTCACTTACACCATGGTATTGAACAAGTTCAATTTATTGTTGAAACAAAACTTAAAATTTTTAAATGAATAAAAATTAACTCATTTAATAGTTGATATGAATATATACAAGTGAAAATTTTCATTTTGTTGAATTTTACTCCCTAAACTTACTCCTACATCCTCTTGAACTTCACATGATCCCTTCTAAGGCCTAAATAACTATCTCACAGAATGAGAAGTCTCAAAAAGACCAATGTCAGCTCAATTTCCATGAGGGGGATTCCTAAATTTTAGATTTTAGTATTGATGTTTGACTTGTTATAAATTCTCTTTTGGAGGAAAAAGAAAAACACTACAAGCAAAGACTTAGCCCAGAGGAATTCCAGTAAATTGATCTGATTCAGAAGTAGCTGTAAAAGTTTTTCGAGAAGATGGACAAACTATATCATCCCCAATACATCAAGACTTCAAAAATAAACCCGAAGTTATTTAGTTGAATGACAGGATCCCTATGCTTTTATTGTGTGCAGCCAATCAGAGCTAAAAAAAAACTAGTGAACCAGAATAGCTTAGACAATACTGTAAGTGGTGTGTTTTTAGAAAGCCAACCTTGCAAATCCAACCAAGTCTCCGTTGACCAGAGATTTGCAGTTAAATCTGTGAATCTGGGCTAATTCCTCGTCACTTTCCGATACTTGCTATCTGATTTTTAACATTTCACTGACTTCCCTAAGCCTGAGTGGGAAAAAAAAAATTCAAAAAAAACTCACCCAGATGTTCCGATTAGCAAAGCTTTTTGCATTCCTCATTCAGTAAAGTAGTACCTCTCTAAAGCACAATCTCTTCCTTGTGCCAGATTTTATGATATGCTTCTTTCCATAAACAGTTTAATTATGCTAGCAGCACTGTGCTAACTAACAATTGCCACATCTTCCATGCTTAAAAAACAATCACTTGCTTCTCAGTCATGCAAAGTACAGGCATACCTCATTCTACTCCACTTTGCTTTTTTTTAATATTTTTCTGCTTTTTTTTGCTTTTGGGGGGGTCACACCCAGCAATGCACAAGGGTTACTCCTGGCTCTGCACTCAGCAATTACTCCTGGCAGTGCTTGAAGGACTATGTGGGATGCTGGGAATCGAACCCGGGTCTGCCGTGTACAAAGCAAATGCCCTACCCACTGTGCTATCGCTCCAGCCCCCATTTTGCTCTAATGTTCTTTATCATGCTATGTTATTTATTCTACAGATTGAAGGATTGTGGCAAAAAAAAGGATATGACTTGCCAAAAGTTTGGATGATTGTTAACATATTTTAGCAATTTAACCTTTTCTTTATTTTTTATTAGGGGTCATATCCAGTAGCAGTGAGAGAGGAAAAGAGGTATGTGGTTCACGTGATGTACTCTACCACTAGAGTCACAGACTCAGCCCTGTGCTAGATTATTTCTAATTATAAGGCATAATGAAAAGATTTCTTAAGGCATTTCATGTAAGAAGAGGAAGGATAACTTACATAGACACAGGGAAACCAAAACAACTGTTCCATTTATGAAGCCGGCTTCTTGGTCTGCCTTCATTCCAGTACCACACACTTTAGATTACTATAGCTGATTTCTATAAGAAATTACTGGATAATTTCAAGATATGGATTGCGATGCCTGTCTTTTTTCCCCTTAGAATCATTTCACTTATTTGTAAAGATTTATGACTCCGTGACAATTTTACAGTATTTGTGGCATATCCTTGAAGAATGTCATAGGATTTTGAAAAAGGGCTGCCTTGACTCTACATAGAGCTTTGGGTAGGATTGTCATGAGTGGGACGGGGATGGTGAACATCCCACTGTGTTTGGAACCTGTTCCTGTCTCTGTCCTCAGGGATCACTCCTAGTGGTGCTGGGTGCAAAGGATCAAACCCAGTTTAGTCATGTGCAAGTCAAGCACTTTATTCACTGTACTATTTCTTCTAATCCCAATATTAAACTTTCTAAGTCGGGAGTGAGCCCAAATACAATGCCCATCTACTACAAATTATGCCACTGGGCTTCCTGCATTAAGGGACAGGAGTCAGCATACCCAAAATGCAAAAGATAAGCTTCTCCCTGGGAAAAATCACCTTTGTGATCATGACCTCTCTTCAGCGATGTAACTAGGATTTTCATTTTAATCATGATAATTGTTCCCATCTATGAACATAGAATATGTTTCCATTTCCCTGTTTTCTTATATTTTAAAATCTATATATGACTTTTATTAAGTTTTTACCATCTTTGTTATTTCCTCAGTAATTAATTTGGAAGGATACAATTGTTAGTGTGATTGTTGATTTGATTTCTTTCTCTTCTACCTCATTGCTTACCTGTAAAAATGTGACATATTTATATGTATTGATTTTGTAGCCAGCTTGCTTTCCTAGACAAGTTTATAGTGTCTAGAAAGTTTTTGGCCAATTTAGAGTTTTTTGTGTGTGATAGCATGTTATTTGTGAATGTGAAAGATTCACTTCTTTTTACCATTTGAATTGCTTTAATACCTCTCTTTCTTACCTAATTTCTGTAGCAAAAATTTCCAATACAAAGTTGAAAAGAATGGTAAGAGTGGGTATCCTTGTCTTGTGTCTGATCATAAAAGAAAGGCTTCTCTTTTTCACCATTAACTATGATGTTAGTTGGTGTTTGCAACACCATCACTATACCGAGGTAATTTCTTCCTATTCCTGCTTTGAGTGTTTTTATCATAACTGAATCTTATAAGTCTTATAAAACATTCTTTCTGCATCTATTACTTTAATCATACAATTTTTATCTTTCTGTCTGTCAAAGACTCTATGGAAAACTGGCCCCCTAACAAAAGAATCCCAAGGTTTAGCTATTTACCTAGGTAAAATAGTTAAGACGTTAGAATGCAAAGCGTTTGCAAATGTACACCCAGAAAAGAACAGAATAGCAGGAGAGAATAGAATAGATGACAGATATCTGCCAGCTGTACCTGTACACCAGGCAAGCATAGAATAAGACTATTTACGATCTTTAAGATGAAGGGGGCAAACAAAAAAAAGGATGGGAAACTGTTACAGGCTTTCTTTCTTACTTTATTTGGTTTGGGGGCCACACCTGGAGGTGCTCAGGGTTACTCCTGGATCTGCACCCAGGAAACACTCATGATGGGCATGAGGAAACATATGGCATGTTGGGGAGGGAACCCAAATTGGCTTCATGCGAGGCAAGTGCCTTACCCCAGGTTGCATTCTGATAGGCTAAATGAAATACCCTAGCCTCTACTCTTTACCTATTAAATACTGAAGTGCTTATTAATTACCCTTATGTCTCTGTCAGCTTAAACAATATCTCACCAATTGAAAGCCTCATGGATAAGGGAGAAGAATACTGTGAGTTCAAAGCTGGCTGCCCAGACTTGTTTTCTTATAAGTTTGTTTGTCTCATCCTCTTGAGACCAACTTCCGCTGGATGGAGGTCTAAAATGCCAATCCAATCGGCTTTATTCATTCACATCAATTGGCAATTTCTGAGTGCAAAGTCAGGAGGGGCCACACCTCCTGACTTTGCACTCAGAAATTGCTCTTGATGGTACTAGAGGGAACATATGGGATACCAGGAACTGAACCCGGGTTAGCCACATGCAAGAAAAGATAGTACTCTAGTACCCTCTATACTATCTCTTCAGCCCTGTATTATCCTTTTACTGTGCTGTTAAGCTCATGTCTTAAGATTTTGTTGAGTATATTTGTCTATTTTAATTAGAGATGTTTGTCTATAATTTTGGGCTGGAGCGATAGCACAGCTGTAGGGCATTTGCCTTACAAGCAGCCAACATGGCCAACCCAAGTTCGATTCCTCCGCCCCTCCCGGAGAGCCCGGCAAGATACCGAGAGTATCTCACCCGCACAGCAGAGCCTGGCAAGCCACTCGTGATGTATTTGATATGCCAAACACAGTAACAACAAAGTCTCCAATGGAGACGTTACTGGGCCCGCTCGAGCAAATTGATGAACAACGGGAGTACCGTGATGGTGACTGTCTATAATTTTATTTTTTCAGTGATGTCTTTGCTTTCATGTGACAGTAATGAGGGCCTCAGAATACCTGTTCAGATGAATTCCTGTTTCTTCAACTTTCTGGAAGAACTTGAGAACAATATATAGATTCTCTTTGAAGGTTTAGAAGAACGCATTTATAAACCCATATGCATCTGGTCTTTTGTTTGGGGGAGATAGTTGATAATTATTGGGATTTTGATGCTAGTAAATAATCAGTTCAGATTTTCTACTTCCTTCTGATTTAGTGTTTGGAGACTGTAGGATTCTAAACCTTTATTCGTTTTTTTCTAGTTCTTTAATGCAGTGACATAAAGTTTTTTCATATTAATCTCTTATGACCTTTTGCATTTATATGGTTTTGTTTTTCCATTCAAATTTTTAATTTATCCACCTTTTATTATTTAGCCTATCAGTTTTTTCTCTTCTTTTTTTTTCTTGAGTTTAGTTAAGGATTTCAGAGCTCCAGTTTAATGATCCATGCTCTATCCTTGTATCTGATGCTATGAAACTGTAAATTCAAAAATCCATTATAATTTTGTAGACAAGTCTTAAAATGGGGGTAAACTGGTAAAACTTTTTAAAAACATAAACATTTTAACCATTTTACATGCCAGAGAAAATACTTAAAACCCACAAATGAAGTGACTTATCCAAATCATTCCACTAAGAGATGGGCATGTTTAAGGTGCTAAATGTGCAATGTATTAATATACAGCAATAACAAACTAAAACAAAATTATTATCTCATAGATAAATTTTAGTATAACTAGAAAGATTCTTCTTTGGGGTCCAGAAACACCGCAGTTTCAATTTCCATCTCACACAGCACCCCAAGCCACTGGGTGTCCTGGTTTCATGGTTGCCAGGCATGAGCAGTCACTCCATATGACATCATGAACATTCTCTCATGAACAAGAAGGGGTATAAGGATTTAGGGCACTTTGGAGGTATAGAAGAAGAAACTCTGTACTCCAAAAACATAAACATTAGCACTACTGTAAGCCACACTACCCTGGTAACAATTTTTAAAAAATGATAAGAAAATGATGATAAAATTTTGCCAGATAGGAGAAAAGGAATGGAACTTGAGGTACTTACATTATGCGAAATAGTGAGGAAATTAAAGAGTTTCACTATTATGTGTGATATAAACAGTACAACTGATCCCCCCCCCAAAAAAGAGAAGCAATAAAACTATTCCTGGAAGGCAAAGGGTGGTAGGTGGGAGGAATAAGTAAAGGGATCTTTTTGGTGATGGAATGACTCTGAGAAGCTGGTGGGAGGATGCAGTGAATCTTGTCCAAACATTGTGGTACAAAGGTACCTTCTTAAATACTCTAATAATAGATCAACAAATGATTAATTATTAATAAGCAAAAAAGGGGAAAAGGAGTAGCTCCTTCATGGGTGTTTGTTGGTGGTGGTTTTTTCTTTTTTCCCCGCCCCCTTTTTTTTTGAGTACTGAGTAAGTTTGGTCCAGCATATGACAAAAGTACACAATACTCTTCCTCAAGGATACTCTAATCTTTTCTCTCTTGTTATTGACAAGAGAGAAAAAAAAACAATTTCATTTCCTCTCTCTTCTTCAGTCCTCAAACTAACTAGCAATAATCTTTTTCTTATTTTAAGTATACAAACACATCTTGCCCACAGAGTAAAGATAGTTATCACAGTACTCTATAGACTGAATTTGCAGGGAGGAGTCTGACATTGTAATATGTCTTTTACATTAAAACTTTGTCTTTTATTTTGACCATTACTTATCACTTCAAAGTTCCAAGAACTCCCTCTAATACAGCAATCAACTGATGTGAGTAACTGTTTTTTTTTATTACTATTATTTTAATGTAGGAGTATTGCTAACTTTTCTTTCTTAATTTGGGGGGAAAGCAGTGACTTCTCTTAAGCAATGAAATCATAGTTTTGATCTTGGTGGAGCTCTGGAATTAGTGTGTATTCCATTTTTTTGTTCTTATCCTAAAATTTTGGGAGAATGAATTTACTTGGAGGTAAATGTGGCTAGTCTCATTCAGGATGAATGTGGTGAAGGCTATCTGAATAGGAAAGTACAGATTCTACCCTGCTCTAGCAAAATGTAGGCCAGTGCCTTGAGAGAAAGAAAGAAAGAAAGAAAGAAAGAAAGAAAGAAAGAAAGAAAGAAAGAAAGAAAGAAAGAAGAGGAGGGAGGGAGGGAGGGAGGGAGGGAGGGAGGGAGGGAGGGAGGGAGGGAGGGAGGGAGGGAGGGAGGGAGGGAGGGAAGGAAGGAAAGAAGGAAGGAAGGAAGGAAGGGAGGGAGGGAGGGAGGGAGGGAGAAAGAGAGAGAAAGGGAAAGAGAGAGAAAGAGAAAGATGGAAGGAAGGAAGGGAAAGAAAAAGGAAGGAAGGAAGGAAGGAAGGAAGGAAGGAAGGAAGGAAGGAAGGAAGGAAGGAAGGAAAGAAAGAAAGAAAGAAAGAAAGAAAGAAAGAAAGAAAGAAAGAAAGAAAGAAAGAGAGAAAGAAAGAAAGAAAGGCCCAGTGAATTGAAAGGGAAAAGACAGGTGAAAGGCTTGTAACTTTCAGCTATGAAGTCTTTATTTAAATAGGTGTCCAACTACCTATCCTAAAATATCATATAAGGTAGAAAAGGGCAAGAAACCCCTCCCAGACTAAGTTTGAAGCAACTTGCAAAGCTACATCATAGAAGAAATGACATAGAATGTCTTTAAATTCATAGTTTAAATGACAGTCTCTTCATCAACTTTCTACCTTATCCTTTGGAGGCACTTTTTTCCTCTGTGCTCTTTTGCTCAGAATAAGATGAAAGTCAAAATACAGAATTCCAGTGAACTCACTAATCCCCACAGGGCTAGTCCAAATGGCCCTAACATGCCCCCAAATTAGACTTTACTGCCCAGAGCTAGTAAAGTCTCTGTCACTCAAAGTTTCAGATGGAAAAATCAGATTCCAAACCTCAACGGAGAAGACAAAGACAGATATATTATCTGGGCAACATTAAGACAGGGTATTTTTTTCCTGTATTTCTTTTTCAGTGTAGAATCATCATCCAGTGATCTAAACCTCATGTTTAGAACCCTGAGAGTCATTTATTCCGAAATGC